ATTTTGGGGTCCCCCCCCTAAAAAAACAAAGTTTTGTTAAAACTTTTTTTTTGGGGAAAAATATTTTGCAAAAAATTTTTTTTTCCCCCTAATTCCCGTCCAATGAGAAAAAAACGGGGGTTTTTTTTATTATCCCAAAATTTCCCCCCCCCCTTGGGGGGAAAAAGATTTTTTGCCCAAAAAACCCTTTTTTGGGGGGGGGCTTCTTTTTAGGGGGGGTTTTCCCTTTTTTTTGGGGGGGGGGGGTTTTAAATTTGGTTCCCCCCCCCCTTGGGTTGCCAAAAATTTTCCCCCAAAATCCAAAATTTAGGCCAGGGGGGGGAAAAGGATCCCTTTTTTTTTTTTACCCCTTTGGGGGGGGGGGGGGGGTTTTTTTGGGTTAATTGGGAAAAAAACCCCCCCCCCCCCCCCCCCCCCCCCCCCAACCCCAATTTAGCTGCATGGGCAATGGGGGTAAAAAGAAGAAAAAGTTCTCAATCCTAAGTTTTTGTTTGTTTACATGTGTGGGACGTGGAAGTTACCTCAATCTTGGAAGGCCCATGTGTGCAATAACTCTTTCAAAAGATGCTTGAAGACACAACACCCTTACCAATGATGAGGTTGAATTATGTATATTTGTAGACAATCAAATCCCATCAATGTACCATGAGGGTAACTAGGGGCAAATCCCACAAATACCATCAAGGATGAAATGGATTTTTTTTGGCAAATCTTTTGATTGAAAATTTAATGATAATAAATGGGTGTTCAAGAGAACTCATAATCCAACCAATAGTACCATTCACAACAAAGCTTGCTTGGTCATTAAAGGTTTCACACAAGTCAAAGGGATGGATTATAGTGAAACTTTTTTGTCAGTGGTGAAAATGATTAATATTTACACTATATTTACAATTGTTAATGCTTTAAGATGGTGTAAAAAAGCGAAAAGAATGGCTCAAAAGATGATTTATATAAATTTAAATATAAAGGGAAAAAGCATATGAATCATCACTAATGAAGGACAAAGTTTTTATATCAGTCATTGCATCATATGACTATATCATGCAACTTTTTCCTTTTATATTTTATTTCCTTAAAAGTTCATGCCCTTGTGAATGAAAATTAACAATTGCACTCTCTTAACACCTTACCCCTCAAACTAGACCACTATCTTAATAGGGTTGGATTTGAGATGATACCAATTGTAAACTTCTAAATTTGAACTTCCTAAAATGTCATGAGCACCCCTTTTTTTCAAATTGAGTAAAGATTTTGAAATACTTAAAGTGTCCCTTAATTTGAATAATATTAAATTGGGTGAAAGTATCATTCCATCGTCCATTTCATCACTGCCAGGTTTGAAATTTCTTCACATTTAGGGGCAAAAGTTCGAACGTTCTACCTGCGGTCCTCAAGCCAAGGTGGAATTTTCATGCCTTCCGGGCAGTCTAGCTTTTCCAGCCCGGTATCATGCTTTAATTTCGGAAGCGTTTTGGTATTCGAACTTCTCACCTCCACGTCGTTCGATCCTCTAAATCAATATATACAAAACTGCGACTGCACCACTATTCTCCCACCAGGAGAGCTTCGCCTCTCACGTCCCTGGCAATCTCTACCACCTCGGGTTTGCTCCTTGTCGATTCCAATTCTTGTTGAGCTGCCACCTCGCTTTTGCTCACAGCAGCACCACCTTTGCCGGCTCTTATCCTCGCCAGGAAACCTCTCACGAGAGCCTGTATTTTCGTTGCAGCGCCCTGGATGTACACGGCCTGGATCCGCTTCTCACGCTCGATGCGCAGAGTGAGAGGCAACCCCTGCGTTAATCCGAGCCAAACGTAAGTATCAAAAGCTTGGAATAGCAGCTACTTACAGTTGGTCCGATCTTATACAGCGTCAGCGTTTCCAGCAGCTCCTTGAAAGGGATTCCTTTGTTTGGAACTCGAAAACTCATCACCTCGTACTCTATTCTCATGTACCTGAGCAGAACAAAGAAAAAAACGAGTGAGAGACAAAGAGAGATTGAGAGGAACACGCCAAACCATTGGGTCGCGTATTTGTAGCGCCGGCCCAGCGGATCACCGAGGGCGTTTACAAATCGTCGCAGCTTGTGCATGCCAATGTATCCCGTAGCACTGGACGATTGTAAAGTTAGTTCCGCAAGGACTTGAACGTAATTAAGTGGCTTACTTGGGATCGAATGGTTCTTGGCTCCACAAGTTTCGATATGCTAACAGGTGCTCTGGCATGACCATAGAGTTCTCGTTCACAAGGCCGAAGGTTACAGCATCCAGTATGACAGCCACAAACAAGTTCATGAATATGTGGCTCCCGACCAAGACCAAGAAGGCGAAGAAGATAATCCCGCCCTCTGGATAGCCACAATCATCGCCGAGTAGTGTTTTACCGTTGGTGCAGGCGGGTGCATCAATTGTGGTATCCATCATAACGCAAGACCAGTTATCAAGAGTTGTAACCTGTAAAAGAAAAGCGAAACTGAAAGTGGTAGAAAAGCAAGCCTTTACCTGAAACACCGCGATGAAAGCGTTGACGAAAGTGCGAAAGTTGACAGACGGGCCAATGCAGGTCCCTTCCTTCATTGCACTGAAGAGTTGAAAAGCCATCCCTGCGAACATATACATGAAAATTGCGAGAAGAGCGAGTATCTCAGCTACAGTTGGCAAACAGATGAACATTGTTCGCATAATAACCCGCGCTCTCGCTACGTGAGGAATGATGCAAAAAACTCGAGCAATGTAGGCAGTGCGGCCGACATAGCCCCTCACCGTTCCCTTCTTTCCCATGAGACCAATGGCGGCCATTATGGAGAGTCCAAACTCCATCTGCCGTGCAACCTCGTTCTTATAGACCTTCCACTGGAGAAAGGAAAAACCAGGTGGTCAAACAAAAAACAATCGAGAAAAAGATGAATGAGGTACCTCGTCGCCAAGGAACTTCATCACGGATTCGAGCAGGAAATATGTTGTAATCGCACAGTGAGCCATCTGACGCCGGTCCGAAACAACTGCTGACTGGCCAGCATAGTTAGTCGCAAGTAGCCCGGAGTAGCCAAGGAGTGCGAGGATCATGCACTTTTGATATGTCGGATTGCGAATCAAGTAGAAGCACATCCCCCGGATGGGATTGCTTGGTCGTCGAGCCAGCGGAATAGCATAAGTTTTCTGGATGATACGGTTCATGTCCCTCCACAGCTTCTGCCTCTCTGTGAGAAGAACTGCTCCAGAATTTTTTCCAAACTCGTTGATAAACACCCCGATGAAAACTCTGACGATATAAAATCCCCCGATACAGCAGAATGCCACGAAAAACAACGCGTTGACAGGACTTGAGTTCCGAACAGGCTGGTGGTCTTCCCTAGTGATGTCCATGACAGGATACATGAAGTGCGTCAGCCAGTTGTCGAAAGTGGAGCAGACGAACATACTGAGGAGGGCATTCTGGATGTCGTCAAAGTGGAAAACGTTATTAACCCAGGCTCGGGGAACAAGGATGCCAATGTCATTAACATAGAGGCCGGTACAATATGCTCGGTGCGTGATTGTCGGGTCATTGCATTTCCAGAGAAGGCCCCGAAACTGCTGCAGCCCGATGGTTCCAAATATCAGGAGAATTGAAAATGTGAAGAGAATAACCGACACAATTGCTGGAATAGTCCGAAAAAGATTTGATAATAATGACCTCAGTCCTGTAAACCGAACCACGAAACGAAATGGCCGAAGAGAAGTAAACGCACCGACGGTTGGTATGGAAGTTTCATTCTCAGCGTTATACTTCAGAAGAATAAGCGCATCGGTGACGAGAATAAACAAGTCCAAGATGTTGTACCAGTCACTCAGGTATGCGTCTGGCGCAAAAATAAGTCCCTGTGCAACGATCTTCATCAAACAGTCTAGCGAAAAGACCTGCTCCAAAACAATGTACAATGTCGAGCAAAATAAGGTAAGCATGTGCTTACCACAAAGTTGATCTTCTGCAGATTCCAGATGAAATCGGGGACAATTATCGGCTCTCCATCATCTCGCATCTCAACTACGAGCCAAGTATTGATGACCATCCAAACTATCACAAACCACAAGTACGGTTTACTGCCGAGGATCTTCCTAGACAGGATCCTTATCGTGTTGCCCTCTCCAAATAGAAGAAGCGACCCTTCTCGCAAGTACCACGGTCTCTGTATGGTTGTAAGAGTTCTCTCGAGCTCTTCGTACTCCGACAGCTGGAAAGATTTCCTGTTGCTAGAGGCCCTGCTTAGATTTCTGCCAATGTTTGGACTGCTGAGAATCTTGTCGAGAGTTATTACGGCATCTTGAAGTGCGGTCCTTGAACCCCTCCTTTCACCGATATTAGACGGAAAACCAGAAACCTGTAAAACTTGGGAAGAACGCCTGTGACGCGACGGCGGAGCTTCAGAAGACTCTGCAGCTGGAACGACCGATGATGGGGCCTCTAAAGCGGATCCAGTAGCGCCCCCATCAGCCTTAGCAGCAGTTACTGCCGGGCGTTGACGACCCTGGGACCCCTTCTCTCTTGGCCTGGCTTTAACCGGTCTTACGTGATCTTTGACGCTTAACATGCGAGTTGTCATCCGTCGCAAACCTTTCATTCCTTCTACTGCGCCCACAACCCAGCTTCCGCTTCTTGTGAGTGCCTGACTTTGCATTCTCCTGATTAACTTCATGTGTTCCATCTGAAAGAAAATAGTTCTTAGATGCAGTTGTCATTTTTTACCTCACTCACCCGTTGGATTCGCTTCTTCTGGTTGTCAGTAAGCTCGTTTCTCTCGAGCAAGACAGCAATGATAAGATTCAGAACGACGTAAACTGTCACGACGAAGTAAAAGACGTATAAAAACGGTGCCACTACACTGCAAAAACGAATGCGTCAATACTAGAGATACTTGAGTGGCTGCTTACTTATATTGAACTCCAGGTCGCAGGGAATTCCACATTTGGTTTACCCAGGATTCAGCCGTGGTTACTGTAAACCAGACGAGCATGGCTTCCAGTATGGAATCATGATTTCCTCGCGGATACTCTTCAGGAAAGCTGTAATACTGCCCACTGTACAATTCCATGCTGATGATAGAGATTACTATGATAACCAGAAGGAAAAAGAAAAAAACCCCCGCCAAAGAGCCAACGCTTTCCATGCAAGTAGCCTGCATCACGTATTAAAATCAATCAAAGTGAACGCAGCAACTCACCACTACACTGGGATGTTTTGCAACATACTTCTTCGAAGAGTAAAACCACCGCATAATTCTTATTGATGTTAAATTTGGAAACGAATGAGAACTGAGTGCCACAATAGATGTCAAAACAACCATCAAGTCCAGTAAATTCATTCCTGAAAATTTCGGGATCAGACCAGAAGACAACATGAAAACAAAGAACTCACCATCGTCAAGAAAATCGCCAGGACCGTATGCTAGAAAGCGCAGCAGAAGTTCCCCGCTGAAAGCAAAAAGCATTACTGCTTGTAACCCGTCTGCATACAAAATTTATCATGCTGAACGAATAGAAAGGAAGTCGTGAAATGAATACCGAGCGTATGCAACAACCGTTTTGACATCCCATACTTGAAGGACGATAAGAGCACGACGTTAATGGTGACACTGAGAAGTACTCCCCACTCAAACTTGGGATGTTCAACGATGTCGCGGCTTTTTTCGGAAACTGTCAACGCTGCTTGAACTCCTATCGTCATACTTCGACTGAAAGACCTACTAGACCGCACTCTCATTGATCTGGCTTGAAGGGCAGTCCGCAGGGAGGTCCGTGTCCGACTTAATGCTCTCGCGACATTCTGCTGCACCTTTCTTGACCTGTTGAGTAAGCGGTTATACCATGACATGTGCGAGTCGGCTTTGACGATATTGTCTTTCAGCACTTGTGCCATCATCGTTGCATCGTAAAAGGACACCGAGGTTCTACGGGCTTTCCTCAGCAAAGCCTGGATAATAACAGCTTAACTTAAGCCAAATCAGTCGGTCATTAAAAACAAGTGTGCACCTGATGCTCTGATCGAACACGAAGAAATACACCACTGATACCGGCGATGAAAACGTTCGTCAGGAAATATGTACCCAGAACAATTAACGTCATAAAGTAAGAATCTGTAGTGCAATGGCTTGTGTAAGCAATAAAAGAAACAATGTCAACGCCTTACTGGCTCGCTCTCCTTCAGCATCCTTCACATCATGCATGACGAGGCTCCATCCTTCCAAAGTTATCACCTGCAGAGTGTCCACTTTGAAGTGTGCTAAGGCGATAAGATGCTATGAAGTGACACAAACCTGAAACATGGTAAGCAGCGAATACCAGAGATAATCAAAAGTTGTGGCTCCATGGTTGGGATTCTCGTATGTCTACAAACAAAGAGATGAATAAGGAATGAGCTTATAGAAAAAACTCACCATACAGTTCTGAAATGGTGGACATACGTAGCCGCCAGCAGCTTTTTTGTCACAAAAGCGCATGGGATAAGCCAGTTGCTTGTCCGCTGTTCGAAAGCACCTGCCCAGGAGGATTTTGATTTCACGTGATAAGAACTATCGAGATTACCTTTGATTCATCGAGTTTTGCAAGAATTGCGTGCCGAGTAGAGAATAGAAAACCAACAGAAAAAACGTCAAAAGGATAACGTTTTGGAGAGGACCAACGCTCTTTTTCACGGCCGCCATGATGGCCTATTGTCAAGTGTTAACAATGCACAAATCAGAAATTTACAAACCATACTATGACATCGGCAAAAAATGTGACGTGCTTCAACGCTAGCAGGCCCCGAAACACGCGGAACACGGCTATCCGCGCGAAAAAATCATGTCCAGTTACACCTCGAGCAATGATATGTACCCTGCACCTCGCAAAGAGCTGGTGAAACACTTACGACCATCAGATACAAAACCTCAACAATACCAGGAATCGAAAACAACGACAAAGTCGAGCCTATTGTACGGATTCCGCATGTAGCAGTGACGGCCTTTGATAAAACCAAGAGCCGAAATTCGTAAAACCATTTCAATCCTGCAAACACAAGTGTGAGGGGAAACCTCGAAGAGGGAAACAACGATTACGTATAAAGCGCCGTGATGAGCTCGTCCAGGAAATCGATGTTGAAACTCCGGACGTGTGTCCATCGTTCGTGCCTAGACCCAGCCATCGCTTGAAAGATAAGCACTATCATATGGGAGCATATAAGAAACACAAGAACATACTCGGCTCTCCTGCCACCAAAGCCTGTCAGAGGAAGGATGATAAACTTCTATCCACGTACTGATTGTAGAGAAGCCTGAAAATGTATAAGCGTGACGGGCTGTAGAGGCTCCAAATTCCAAGCGCAGTGCCCTCCATTCTTGCTCCAGTCCCGACAGCAGTCCGCCTCGCCTTTCTTCTTATATTCTAGAAACAGAAATTAAGGACTCTCCAAAGTCGAAAGAAGTAAAGTTACCATGAGCCTCTTGATTGCAGTGTAAGCCCTCTTCCAGTTCTTGGTTGCCGGGGAATCGGGAATCGCTGGGGCCAGTTGATCCAGTGCGGCAATCAATGCGGCAGACGAAGATGATGACGCTGCTCGGTCGCGATCCGGCGCTGCTTTGCTCACCCCATGAATCGGAGGCAGCTGATCCTCCCATGTCGGATGCCGAGCTATGAAATCGTGATCTTCTTGCGGGATGGGATCACTGGAAGAAGTATTTCGAGGCGATCGATGAATCACTGCATCAGCTAAGCTACATTGTGCCTCCGGCGCCTACCTCTGCGTGAGCTTCGTCATAGCTTGCGTCGCCGCCTCGAGAGCGCTCATCCGCCGGCGAACTCCCTCCATGGCCGTCATCGCCAAGAGCCCTAAAATTCAAACTACCTAATAGAACGCGTGATCCAAGGGCGGCGTTTTGGCCACGAGAGCCTTTTCTCCTTGCGATCGTTTTCGTTTCACAAAAGAACGAAGAACACAGTATAGGAGAAAATAATTCTCTGCATTGATACCCTCATGATCTTAGGCACTCGCTCTGGCATCGCCGCATACAAACATCATTCCAATTGGGGACGTGATGCTGCGTAGAACAAACAGATCAAGCGCATGCCTCGGCACAAGCATCCAAATCCGAGACCCCACACACGGTGAGGCACAAACTGGGCGTCACATCCTTTGCAAAGCTGCCCACTCGCTTCATCATCCGATCCGACGCGCACACGCTCCTGGGATTCCAAATCCTGCTGCTGCTGCTCGCTCTCATCGAGCGATGATCGCCGCCGCCGCCATCTCTCCACAATGCCACCGCCGCCACTCTTGCCCGCGCCGCCACCGCCGCATCATCGTGGCGGAGCCTGTGATTCCCAGTAGCCCTAGCCCCAGCCCCACCGCCGCGCGCTCTCCACCATCCTCAAGCTTGCCCTAGAGCATCCGCGTGTGTAAAGTAGCGATAAAATACCAGCTTTTGCCCATATCCGTGTCGCCCTCTCTCCATCCCGTTCGTTAGTATCGATTTCCAATATACAGGAAAGAAAGAATATCCAAGTGGAGCTCGGTTTAGTTGGCCCCACCGGGGTGGTCCACCTGGAAGTTGACGTGTCATGACGTGGCATACATGTTGGCCAGCAGCACATAGGGCACGGCGTCCATGGGGCGAAGCCTCGACGCCTCGCGAGCGGCGCCGTGGGCACTACCCCAGCCCTCGCCATGGATCTGGCACGCATGGAGCAAGATCTTCCACACTGCGGTGCTAGGGCGGAAGGGCATTGTCCGCGCTACATCCGCGGCATCTCCCATGGATCCCGCCCTCGCCAGGGCATCCACCACCGAGCTCCAGTGCCTCTTTGCCTGTTCTACTCCGTGATCTTCCCTCATGTAGATAAATCTCTCCCACACCTCGTCCAGCAATCCCGTGTGGCAGCACGACGCTAGCAACTGCGAGAAGGTCGCTTGATTCGGCTCCAGTCCCTCCAGATGGATCGAGTGGAATGCCTCCACCACGCCCCTGGAATCGCCCGCGCGAGCGATCGCGGCAACGATCGCGTTCCATGAGCTTATCGATGCGCGTGTGTTGCTCTTCGCGAGATCTTGGAAGGATCGGCGAGCATCAGGCAGCAATCCTCCCCTGCCATACAGGTTGATCATCGCCACGCCCAATATTTCGCGCTGATCGCCATCGCCCAGGTTGATCGCCGCCGCTCGAGCGTGGATCTCGCGAGCTTGATCGATCCTGCCCAGCTGCGAGCACGCAGAGATCGCAATGGCGAGCGTGGCGGCGCTGGCTTTTACGCCCTCGAGATCCATCGTGTGGAGGAGGTGGATCGCATCGCCGGCTTGATTGTTCTTGGCGAGAGCCTCGATCATCGCGTTCCATGTCACGGTATTCTTGCATTTGATTTCTTGGAAGACCTTGAGAGATTCCTCCACGCAGCCGCAATCGCCATAGCTGGCGATCAAGGCCGATCCAACCACAGCGCCAAGATCTAGATCCCCATGAATCGACTGAGCTCTCGCATGGATCTTGGCAATCTCTCCCACTCTCGCACACGACGCGAGGATGGTGCTCAAGGTGAAATCGTTGGGCTGGATCTCTTGATCGAAATCCATCTGCTCAAAGAGAACAAGCGCCTCGCGATGGAATCCCTGCCGCGCGTACGCATCGATCATCGCGGTCCACGACACGACGCTGCGATTCCTCATCCCATCGAAGATCCGCCGCGCGTCCGCGAGGCTGCCAAGCTTGCCAAACGCGTTGATCATCGAATTCTCTAGGACGAACAGCATTGATGGATTGGATGATAGATCCATCGAGCTCGCGATCAGTGACTCCAATTTGATCGCCATCGCGAGCGCGCGATCACGACCATCGCAGCCAAGCGTGGACAACGCATCGAAGACGCTGACGAGGGTGGCTGGATTTGGGGCAATCCCTTCCAAGCACAGGCGATGGAAGAGCTCGATCGCTTGCTGGCTCTCCAGTGCCGCTAGCAAAGAATTCCACACCACGATATCGCGCTTGTCCGAGACCACGGCAAACGATTCACACGCATCGTCCAAGATCCCGGATCGAGCAAGCATGCTCACGATCGCGCTGCCGACGAAGGGATCGGTGTGTAATCCAGCTGCGCGAGCCCTCGCGGCGAGTTCTTGGGGTCTTGGATTGGAGATTGGGGGGATGCTTTCGCCAAATGCGCCAATCGTGCTCACTATTGCGATCTTGTCTGGCTTGGTTCCATCCAGATCCATCCGCCACAGCAATCGCGCGGCCTCATCGGATCGCCCGGCCTGGACGAGCGCCGCCATCGCGATCGACCATGACACGGCGTTCTTGGCAGTGATCTCTTCAAATGCGGCCATCGAATCGTCAAAGCTCTGGCATTGAGCGTACATTCTCACGATGCAATTCCCCACCACGGTGGATCGATCCATCCGGTCATCAGCGATCGCTCTTGCGTGGATTGCTTTCCCCAGATCCAAGAACTTGGGATCGCAACACGCCGAGAGGGCAGTGGCGATTGTCGCAGCGTCGGGCAAACCCTGATCGAGCTCCACGATCTCTTGGAAGAGATCCAGGCACTCGCGATGGCAGCCATTGCGGGCATAGGCAGCAAGCATGGCATTCCACGCGATCACGCATCGCTTGCTCTCGATTAACTCCAGATTTGCCAGGAATTCCTCCTCCGCGGCGGCGATGATCCCACACTTCCCCAGCATGCTGATGATCGCGGTCGCAAGCACAAGATCGAATTCGATCGATGCGAGGACTCGCTGGTGAAGATCCAGTGCCTGGCCAGGGCAGCCATAGCCAGAGCACGCGTCCACCATAGCCAAGAACGTGACCTTGTTTGGGCGAACCCCTTCCAGATCCATTTGCTGGAACGCCACCATCGCTGGCACGGATTGGCCATTCCGGGCAAATGCCGCGATGAGGATCGTCCAGGAGAAAACATTGCGATTCGCGATTCGATCGAAGGCCGCAGCAGCGTCGGCGGTGCTGCCGCATCTCCCATACATCTCGACGAGGAGATTTCCCAGGAATGTGTGGGTGTCGAGCAGCGATCTCGCGAGCCGCGCGTGGAGGAGCTTGCCCTGGGCGAGAGCGCCAGAATCGCGGCACTGGCGGATGAGATCGGCATACCTCGCAACGAAATCGTTGTCTAGGGCGTGGGATTTGCCAAGAACAGTGGAGCTTGGGGTTAGGGCAAATGCCATGAAAGGGGAAATAACTATTCCATGTTGCTTTACCCCTTTACCTTTTTAGGGTTTGTTAAAAACAGGGGATAAGATGGCGCTCGCAATGGCTATGGCGCCATCGCTGGGAAGAACACTCGCCCTACGCCCAATCTCCTCCTCCTCCTCTCGATTAGGTCTCGATGCGTCCTCGTTCGCGCCCACGGCCGCGGCGTCGTCCCTCTCATCCGCGCGGGGAGCGCTCTTCTCAGGTCCGATTGATTCCTTCCCTCACCAATCGATTCAACGCTAGAATCTCACAGGAGGATCGTCGTGGGGGCTCTTCTCGGCGCCGGTGTGCGTGGATGGAGCGAAGAAGCGGCCGCGGCAGCTGGTAGTGAGAGCGGGCAAGGCATCCATGGCATGCACCAAGAGATCCAGGTCTCGCAAGTCGCGGGCGAGGGCGCAGGGATTCCGGAAGAGGATGTCGACGCCCGGCGGGAGGAATGTGCTGCGGCGGCGGCGGCGAAAGGGCCGCAAGGTGCTCGTCCCTCAATCCAATCCCAACAGTGGAAAGCGGGCTTGAGAAGGAATTCCTTGGCAATGTCTAGATCTTCATTGGAATGATCCAGATCGTCACGAGCAAAGTTTGATCTCTTGAGGACCACTTTCTTGCTGAGAACGAGGATTTAAAGACCATCACTCTCCTTCATATCGGGGAAATCTTTGTTCCAGGCTTCGGTTGCTTCTTCCTTGGATCGCAGCTCCCAAAACAGCGGCTGCTCGCGCTTCCGATTCTCGCTTTCGATGATTACCTGCGGAGAAATCGTAAGAAACTCACTCTGGAGTGAGCGAGAGCGAGAGAGATTGACCTGAGCCTCGGCCAGTTTCTTCGTCTTGAGGCGGAAGCAGTTCATCACATCCCAGAATTTGTCTGTGCAAGTGTTGAAGGTGCCTTCCCGGTAGTATTCTCGGAGCTGGAATACGGGCGCTGCGAGAGCCAAAAAAAACATTTAGATGCTATGAATGTGAAGGAGCACACACTTACAGTAGCAAAACCAGAGCGCATCCAATGCGGGCGTGCACGAAAACTTGAAAGCCTTGGGCGGCGGATCCTCTCCTTCCGCCATCGCGGCCAAGAACCCTAAAAGAAAATCCTACTTTCGAGCTTTTCTTGCAAACAATAGAATCTCTTGAAATTGTATAATACATTTTCATATTTCAAGATTCAACTGGACTCTAAACACTTTTTGCGTCTGTGACACTCACACTATGGCGTGCATTTCTTGTCCCTTTGTTTTTCCAAGTTATTTAGCAGTGTAAACGCAGAGGCACCTAACGCTTGAAATTATACGATTCTCTTCTTTGTTTGTACTTTAATATGAATTCTTTACTATGGATTGCGGATGCAAATGGGCTGGAGATTAAGACGGCACACGCTTGATGGAAGCTCCTGACAATTACGACATGTATCGAGCATGTTATGACTAGCAGATCGCCACCTTGTAGAGGCTTGTAGAGTTGCTTGTAGAGTAGCAACTCGTCCATGTTTTCGGCCATGCCTTCGTATAACAATATAGTATTTCCAAAATATCCAACTTATGACTTCATAAATCACAGCCATCTTTGTGGTGATGGTGTATGACCTGCCGTTTTCTGGCTTGAACGAATTGTACTCATCATAGTAGACCCTCATATTGGTGCTGAACTTGTCATAATGGGTGCTCCAAGCACCTCCCTCTGTGTTGGAGTAGTACATCTTCACCCACGGGAAAGACACAATGGCGGATTGACGCTTGCTAAGGGTGAATTGAAGCTCCTGCAAAAGCAAGAAACCAATCTCAGGGCTATAAACTTTGTTTCCAAATTGAGCATGAAAGTGTACACACCTGAGGATTGGAATAGCTACTGAGGTTCACCAACACTTCCCAAGAGTCATAGTCGTCACCATCAACCATGTAGTACGCCCTGAATTTCATATCCACGTTGTCCTCCTCGAACACGAAGTGCGCTACTTGGATCTCCTGCTCGGGCTTCGTGTAGATATGGATTGCCGGACGACCACTGACGAACACCTGGGGCATCGCATAGAAGTTCTTCTCTACACCGACCTTGGGGCGGAAGTTGAGCTGGTAGTGCGCCTTGGTATCCACAAGGTCGCAATCCGCGTAGTACTCGTGGGACTTCGCGATCAGGCAAGCCGCGCCGTTGTGCCATTCGGTGTGGAAGTTCATCACGCCGGCAGAGATCTGGAAGAGGCTCATGGCGACGCTGGCCATGCTGGGGTACTTGAATTCCCCCCCTTCTTTCACTAGCTTGGAGAGAGCATCGAACATGACTTGGTTGAGCGCGGATTTGATCCGGTCATTGATGTCTCTCTGGAAGTCGGCCACCTCCGAGGGGGAGTAGCCGCAGTCTTTGGCGCTTTGGATCATCTCGCGGAGCAGCGTTGAGTACAATGCGAGCGCGGATCCGTAAGAGAGGAGTGTGTGCTTCATGTAGCTGGGCTGGGAGAAGAGATTGAGCATCTGGAGGAGCTGGGCCTTGCAGTTCTCGAATCGCACCACGATCTTCTGGGTGCCGACCGAGTTATCGTCCTTGAAGGCCTCGACCGCGGCCTCGCCATTGTCCGCACAGCCCAGCAGCATCGCGTTCCAAGAGACAACGCTCCGGCGAGGCATGCTATCAAAAGCTCGCCCGCGTCACCCAAGCTCCCACACTTGGCATACATATCCACCAAGCTGCTCGTCACGTATCCGTCTAAGTCATGCTTCCTTCTCGCCGCTTCCGCGTGAATAGCCATCCCTCGTTTCAAGCTCTCCAGCTTCAGCAACATCCCGTCAACCAGCCGGGCTTCTTCCTTCACCGCCTGGATCGAGCAGTTCTTCAGCACGGCCACAAAAGTTCTCGCATCCGGTTCGCAGCTTCCACCACTTTGCATGCTTTCGAACAGCCTCATCCCCTCAGACGTAGTAGTCCTGGCTCAGCTGGGAGATGGTGGCATTGGCAGCTCGTGCTTGATCCGCGATGTTTTCAGCCAGAGCTTGCTCGTTCATCTTCCCCACCCGCCTCGAACAGCAAATCCATAGGGGCCTTTTTCTGCTCTGCGGTCGTGGAGCTCTGCGCAAACGCAATGCTCCACACATGCCCGAATATGGCTTGCACGAAGGAGCCCACAACCGGGATCATCCCGAGGCCCAGCGAAATGCCCTCCTGGAACCCATCCAGGATGGCCTGATCAATAGCAAGATCCATTGAAAGCATGAAAGGATTCAGAGCTCTGGAGCAAGACTAAAGCAAGAAGCCGGATGAACTTTGAGAGCAAGTTAGAAGGAACCCAACGTTATATCTGTCAGCGGTTTGGCATATAAGGAGGATATGCATTCGATGGATGGTTTTCAGCTACAAGTGGTCCATTGTTTTCATGGTTTTGTATACATGGCGAGCTGCAAGTTTTAGCAACCAAACAATTATCTTTACCACAATCGAAACCTCACTGGCACTAGCAAGGAGGGTGAATCTTGAATAGGCATGTCCCACATAATTCTATGTAATTTGAGGTTGCAAACAGTTGTAAATATACATGTAAAATATAGGAGCATATAATGTAATACATGAACTTATTACTCATGTAGACTATGGGTATCATATTATGAGCATGTCAGTCATTCCATGGGCATATTCATTGATTTGAAATTTTAGGACATTATGTATTTTGGCCAGACTCTCTAAACTACTTTGCCAAATGTTGATTGTTTAAGCAAACCTGGGTGGTACTTTGATATTCTATATTTTGGTTGTTATTCATTTAAATTAATTTTAAATTTATAAACATTTTTATACTTTATAAATTTTCCTAAACACTTCCTAGTATATTCTACCATCAAATTATTCAATAAGATTAATCTTGTGTTTATAAATTATAAATATGTTTATAATTATAAACTTCCATTTGATCAATTAGATTAATAAATAGAAATAACACCACTATTAAAAAAATGCTTGTTGCTACATGCAAAACGTAGCAAATTATTTTGTAACACAACCAAATTTATAAATTTGGTAAAGACAATATCATTTTGAATGCATTGAGTTGTTAGGCTCAATTTCAGGCAATGTCGGCAATCAATTCAGATTTGTTGGAAAATGTTTAGGCTTTGTATGGAAGTAACATGTTAGCAAATGCAATATTACATTGTGTAAAGTTGTCAAAATAACACACTGATTATATATTTCATCTAAGGACATATGATGGTTGTTTCTACAGGAAGATCATGATGTTCCAGATGGCAGTAAATAAAAGACTTTTGCCTTATTGAAATAAAAGATTTTTCTATTCTTATATGGAAGGTGATATAATAGATTATGTATATTTTTGTCCTACTTGCCAACAATGTAAAAGAAGAACTAAGAAATAAGTTGAGAAGTTGCAATACATTTCAATATAGACATATCCATTTTAGAATATAACACTTGATTTCATCACTTGCTTGTCTAAATTTAAAGGTTATAACATTTTGATGGTGGTTATCAAAGATTGCACATTTCATCATAATTATAGAAACAATGAATGTTAAGCAAGCAGTAAAACTCTTTTTCCATGAAGAGTTGTTATTTCATATATTAATGCTTTCTATATTTGGAAGCATGCAAAGTTTGGGATAGAGCTGTCTACACAATCTCATACTAGAGAGATTAACCATTAATTCATTGTGTTTTTCATGGGAAAATTAAGCTAAGGTGTGTAAATTAACAATGGCTTTTGCTAGTTGTTCTACAAGAAATATGGATTACAATAGAAGTTGATATTTGCTAAGATGAGGAGAGTGGTAATTAATGTTAACCTCTACAAGCCAACAATAAACCTGATGTTTAGTTTTAAATTTAATTTTTGCTTGTCTTAGCCTGATTTTAGTCATACAAGATATTAACAAGGCCATGATCTAGTTTGCTGCTTTTTTACTAACTCTTGATCCTATCTCAGGTTCTCTACTATGAATTGTATGGCATTGAGTTGTAGATATATGAACACCACTATGTACATTGATGCCTAACAGTCAACCATAGCCATTTGCTGAGCTTAATACTATTCAATTCTTCTCTCCTTCTTCCTCTTTGTTTCCCCTTTTACTTTTCTCTCGATCGATGATCCATTTGCTTCTGTGTGAGAGAGAGAGGATGATCCTTCTTCCACCAGCGATCTAGGGCTCGGATCACATGGGTCGAGTGTGAATTTCTCAAAATTTATGGCATGCATGGATCATGATTATAGTGGTAAATTTGAATTAATCATTGCTAAAATAGAATCTTAGAAAAAATAGATAGAATCTTCTATCTATAAAATGAAAACAATAAAATGACACACAGAAGTTGAAAGAATTATATATCTTAATTGTATATGGATGGGTGCATATACACAGAAATCAATAGTATAAGAATCATCTCTACCTTTAACTCTCCCACTCACAATCAGGCGGATGATCAAAGCTTGAATCTAAGCTTAAATATTGCCTAGCTAGTTTGAAATGATGGACATAGAGAGTTGATAAAAAAATATATAAAAAACTCATTAGCTAACTACCCAAAACTTTATTCTTGGTTTTGGCTTTGACACACTCTTGTTTATTGTTATGGCTTCAATCCTACCACTAGTATATGGAATTGGCTGTGAATTGCCAGACTTCCACTTCTACTACTACCAAGCACTTGAATCTCCATAAATAACTTTTCCAATTGTTAAAAATTTTAGTACTATGAAATGTTTTAATTTTTTAAATGAATTGTTAAAATCTCTCAATCTCCCATTAGCTTTATCCTTTACTTGCTGCTACTGTTGCTTAGCTCCTTATACAGTCTAATGTGTTAATTCAACATCTCACACATCTAATGCCTCATCATGGGTATTTATATATAGAAACTATAACTACATATCTTAACTACCTTATCTGTCTTTACATTCTATTTACAATAAACTGAAAATCTAAAACCTAAAGTTTAAAGCAAAAATTCACATATATCTTGCTCTTATTCGCTCTGACCAGATAAGCCAAAGAATCAAGGCTAGAATACATGTAGCTCTAGGAATACCATGACTTACATGGTCACACCTTAAGCTAATCAGCACCTCATTCCCATATAATCTCTTATATGGGATTACTAACAACATGTTTCTTGTAACCAGAAAATAATCTTGTACTCGTCTTGGATGATCCATACAAAACTGAGATCTTCCTGGTTCTCGCTCATGAGTGTCCAGATGACTCCATTACTAATGTAGAACGAAATGTGGTAAAAAAAGCATTGGCATGCAGGATGCACACTAATTTGGGCCTTCCAGGGTCCAGACACAATGAGTTTGCTCCATGGCATTATCCACGTGGCTCATTGTGATTAGTTATGATGCCAGGTATGACTATGACTCCATGAACCAAGGCTTTGGTCGGATCTTGCAGTCTGAGTGTCGCTGGATCGTTTCCCGCAATGTTGCTCGTGCTGCCCTCTAGCATTCTCAGTGGACGAACCTCCATTGATATGGCTTGCGAGTCTGCCACTTCAAGCAATTACATCCTGGTTTTTGACAAGCCGAATGGAAATACAGTGCACCTGATTTGCAAATAGCATGCCACTGCACCGGGAACCACAGTTTTCTTCTTTCAAACACAGAGGCCCTTGAAACCTTCGTTGCTCACAATACTCTGGACGCCCTTTGCTTTGTTTCACCACCTGAGATTTAAAAGAAAAAAAAACAGACTAAAAAGCTTGATTACTTCGGATTACTTCGGTGGGAACACGGACGAAAGATGCTCCTCCAGTAGCACCAGCAGTCTGTAAATTTGAAACGCAAAAGAAGCAAGCCTTACAAGCTTACCATAAATGATCTAGAACGCATTCCGTTTCATAGGCCTGTAAACTCCAACAAATATCGCGACGCCCTGGAGAAAACCACGAAACTAAATCATTCCAGTTCTCCAGTAAAGATTTTCTTACGGTAAAATTCCCAGCAGGTTTCCGGCTAGACCCGGATACAGGCCTTTCAGCACGATCTTCCCGCTCGTGGTTCATATTGAATGAAAAGAGAAAGAAAAAGGCATGCAGGAGAACTTAAGTCAGGACAGGAGAAAAAGAAGAAATTCGAGCTTTCCTGAAGTCGAGTTCTGATAGTATCAATCGGATACAGCACGGTTTCAACGACAACTCCACGAAGTGTTGAAAAAGTTAAGAGCATGATAACTTGAGCGAAATTTATTTGCTTCCTCGCAGGGATCGCAGTTGTGGCTGCTCCACCGTGCGTTTCGATAGCTGGAAAATCACAACCATGCAAAATTGGAGGCTGTAGAGCACTCACATTGCGATTCTTCATGGCGTCTTGAAACAGAAAAGACTCGATCACAATCATCCACAAAGAAAGAGACTAAACGCGCTTCTTCACGGATTTTAGGCCAATCTGTGACAAATCCGCGCCCTCAGAAACAAATTCATGGCTTGTGATACTTCGACGAATTAAGAACTCATTTAATTATCTGATAGAACGAACGGCTACAAGAATTTACACTTTGACTGGATGAAGGAGGTGCTAAAGTACAGAACACTGGCCCGCAAAACTCACTTTGAAGTAAATCAGTGTGCCTTTTTCTTTCACTCGTATCTAGCTCTCTCGATGCACAACGAAAACTCCACGAGCAACTAGAGGCATGTGTTTTTCTCCTTGTGCGGAAGACAAGCCAGCTCCTGAACTCTAGAAGACTTCACGCATTTGCAGCAGGGAAGAAATCGACTACATCAAATCTAACACTCCAGCAGCAGCCAAAAACTAAGCCGCGGAGATCGATATAACAACACAGTACGAGGTTTGCTAACAGCAGCTTCAAGACGCAAGAACTGTACAAAATGATTGCATGGTTTTTTGGGTGAGAGGCTCCGATTTGGCGGTAAAAGCTCCGCATTATGAAATCGGTTTAATAATCCAGGGTTTGGGGAGATTGATGGACTATGCTTGAACAGCTTGTCTTTGCTGTAAAGACATGCACCAACCTTTCCCATGCCAAGAACTTGCACTCGTGTTTGTTCTCGTCCCATCATCCCCCATCGATCCAACTCCATCATTGGGTCATCCAAATGTACGGCAGATGCGGCAGCACCGCCGACGCACGCTCCGTATTTGATTCGCTCCACCCAAAGGACTGCATCTCATGGAACTCGATCGTGGCAGCCTACGCCCAGAATGGAGAGCTGCGCGAATCCAAAGCTATGTTCGATCAGGCGGGCAAAAGAAATGTGGTGTCGTGGAACACAATCCTGGGGGCCTATGGCTCAGCGGGCAACCCATGCATGGCTCAGGAAATCTTCGATCGAATGCCGGCTCGCGGGTTAATCTCGTGGAATGCAATTCTTTCTGGAGTATCACAGACTGGAACACTTCAATCTGTGAGAACAATGTTTGTCCTAATGCCCGAAAGAGATAAAGTATCGTGGAACACTTTCCTCGTAGCAAATGCCCGCCATGGGCATTTGGATGACACCTCCAAATGCTTTGAGAGAATGCCTCAAAGAGATCTCGTGTCGTGGAATACAGTGCTCGCCTCGTGTGCCAAGACCAAAAGCTTACACAAGATGACACAAATCTTGGCGGCGGCACCCGAAAAGGACTACTTCTCGTGGACGACAGCTTTGTCGGCACATGCCCAGCACGGGCATCTGGAAGAATCCAAGCGCATCTTCGACTCCATGTCGGCGCGCAGTCTTGTGACGTGGAATGCCATGCTGGCGGCGTATGTCCAGCGGGGGCATTTCCAAGCCGCGGAGCTCTTCTTCCACAGAATGCCCGAGAGGAACGTTGTTTCGTCGAATTCAATCATCACAGCGCTCGCGCACCACTGCGAGCGATCGAAGCAGGTCTTTGATGGCTCGCCGGTCAGGGATCACGTCTCGTGGAATGGAATGTTGGTGGCCTATGCCCAGAGTGGAAAGACGCTTGAATCGCAGATGGTCTTGGAGAGAATGCCGCAGTGCAACACTGTCTCTTGGACTGGCTTGCTCTCGGCAATCACCCAATTCGAAGACGCGAAAGCTCTCTTTGACGAGATGCCAGCCCGTGATCTTGTAGTCTGGAACGCAGTGCTGGCATGCTACACCCGATTTGGATGTCTTCTCGATGCAAATATCCTGTTTGATAAGATGCCTCACACGGATTCGGCTTCTTGGTCGACCATCTTAGGAGCTTACGCACAAAGACTTTCTTTGGATGAAACGAAGCTAACCTTTGATCATATGCCAGGACGGAATCTAGCAGCGTGGAGCTTACTTCTTAATGTATATGCTCAAACAGGGTATCTTGAGATTGCTAAGTTTGTGTTTAATAGGATTCCCGCCAGGGACTTGGTGTTGTGGACCGCAATGGTATGGGCTTACTCACAAAACCGGCTATTGGAAGAAGCAAGAGCAGTGTTTTCGGAAATGCCACAACGGGATCTTATAGCCTGCAATGCTATTCTCTCCGCTTTTGCTCAGAATGGGCATCTTGTTGAGGCGCGGTCGCAGTTTGATTCCATGGTGGAGCGAGATATTGTCTCTTGGGCCGCCATGCTAACGGCGTATGCCCACAATGGGGGGTTTCACCAAGTGTTGGATCTGTTTAAGCTTCTCCAGCTCGAAGGCCTGAAACCCGATGAGATTTGCTTCACTTGCGTGCTCGCTGTTTGCAGCCACGCGGGAGATTGCGGGGTGGGATGGGAGTGCTTCAGCTCCATTAGCAGTGATCACAGTGTGGAGGCGAGCAAGCAACACTACAGCTGCATGGTTGACATTCTCGGTAGATCCGGGTACGTTGATCGCGCGGAGGAGCTTGTGGAAACCATGCCCTTTGTCCCGGATGCCGAGGATTGGATATGTCTGCTGGGCTCCTCTCGGATCTATAACAATGTGGAAGTGGCGGAACGAGCAGCGAGACGAGTGATGAAGTCTGACTTAACAGCCTCTTCGCCATTTGTGCTGGTTGCAAACATGATCAGTCAATGAAAGAAAGATGTGAATGTTTTCTAGGCGCGGCCTCCACGGCGCCACAGCACGGCGCGGCGCACCGTGGCGGGCACGCCGTGGAGGCCGCGCCGTTGGAGGGCGCTGTTGACACTCGGCTTTGGATACATCATCTACCAAGACAACAATGCAGCTCAAGCCGCGATAAACACCATGGATGGGCAAGTTTTATTCGGTCGCCAGATCCTGACAGGACCGATCGTGGAATGGGACGAAGGTTTACCCCTGCCTAGGTTTTGATTTAAGTACGCTTGCACTCAAGCCCTGTAAGACAAGAAAGAAAACGGCATATTGTCCTGTCCACAATCTTGCAAGCTTCCTAGATAGCACAAAAGGTCCAGAGACGCCAAAAACTCGCATTTCCTGCTGTGCTGCAGTAAAGGCCGACATGGTGCGCTCGAAGCAGCAAAAAGTGCCTGAGAAGAATAAAAAACACGCAAGCAAAGGACTCACAGTGGTGAACTCGACTTTAGTTGGTGGTTGTGGAGAGAATCCCCGCATAAAATGGCAGTTTTATGCCTCGTGACGCGTAGCGAATTCCAGTAGCATGCCAGTAATTTTTCCTTTCTTCTTCGTGGTTGAGCTCATTTCCTGAATAAACAACAGCGTCATAAGTTCCCGTATCCAAATGCCAAATATCCTGCCATACCTCGTCAACAGCGTCACCGCAAACACCCAGCTCACCTCTACTGCATCCTTACGTTGCCATGAAACCCTGCTCTTGTTCGACGTGACGGACAAGAAAAAGAAAAGAGAAAAGCCGAATGGAGCAACTACACACCTGTGAAGTGTGTCGATGATAGAACAGCCTCCGTTACTGACATGCCTATTTGCATCACCCTGGTCACGGAGTAGCTCTCTTTCTCGGTGCAAGTTAAATGAGTGATTCTGGATCATACCACGGAGCTGTAAAAAGCAGTATTTAGAACAGGTAACGTCAGGGTAATTCTAACCGAATGAACGAGGAACAGCTCTACTTTCGCCTATTGCACCACCATCATCTCCATGCGTATCTCTGAGTAACAACACGAAAAGTTTAATAGATCAGCTGTGAGTGGATCAGCTAACTAAGTGGATTCGTTACCTCCATTAGGAAACTTCTGAGTATGACCTGAACTTGCAGAACCTAAACAAGTTGACCAGTAGTGTTTTACCTCCTCGTCCCCATTCATTGTTTGGACACATCTCAAAGAAAGAGAAAAGGTTTCCCGGCACAGACAACCAGTAAACTAGAACTATAGCCACAATGTTTGCTGGTCCTTCAAGATCTCGAAATATCAGCGTCTACATGCAGAGGTTTAACAAATTAGTTTTGGAAGCATCAAAACGAAAAGGAAAGGCTCTTACGTGATTGCCAATGGGAACAGCCAATGAAGAAGACTCGTCCGCCGCCATCCGCTGAGCGAGATAAGAGAACTCCCTCTGAGGCTTAGATTCAAATCGATGGCCATACGTTAGTCGCTAGATTTATCTCCGCAGCCTGGGAAATAAGCCAGTAAACAGCTAGCCGATATAAGTTAGTAATACTGAACCTCCCAACAGATACTCTTGTGAAGATCCTGGGCTCCAAGGAAGAAATACAGTGCGAAAAATCTGTTGCATGCTCCGCTGCTATTAAAACAGTGGGGCACACAACAACTGCTTGCTCAAGCTTCAGCACCTGCATCAAATGACAAGAAAATCGATACAACAAACAAGGCAAACCTTCACATCATAATCAACGTTGTAGACAAGTTTAGCCACTATAGTTCCAGCGCCCTCCGTGTTAGCTTTCAGCAGCGTCGCATTTTCCGATCCATGTTCGGATGCAACAGCTTCCCGGTACGGCAGGTACGTGAAAAGAAGTCTCAAGTCGTTACTCTGTCGGATACCAGAGTCGGCAAATAAACAAAACGGAGGAGGAAAAGACCTGCGTCAGGTAAAGAGCGCGAGTGGAGTCGAGAGCGAAAGCGTGAACGTTAACCACGTACCCTGCCAGACACGATCTACCAAGTCTCTCCTGATAACCTGGCTTCGATATTCAGCTTGCAAGAATCTGCTTTCTCTTTGTAAAGAGGTAGGAGGTGAAGGAATGACAGCATGCACTGTAGCCATCTGCTGATGTCCTTTCACTCTTACGTCTTCGAATGAAACTGCAAATGAAATGAGTTACATGAACAAACGAGGAAAAACTTCGCTGCAAAATACCTGTGATGATGGATCAAAGGTACGTCCAGTACTGTCCCCTCCTTGCAGGTGAACTTCCGACATTGTTCATCAGTAAAAAGTAAGAAAACGTGATGCCTTTCACCTCCATGGTTAAAACGTCGGGTACGACTTTGATCCATGCTATGTCCACCTGGAAAGGGTTAATAAGTTTGAATCAGAGACTGCACAAGCTGAACAAAATTGTACCAGAGCATTTGCTAAAGCAGGACTAGCCAAACCACGTCGAGTATAGAAACAACTGCGTCATGTAAGAATTGCTTGGCCTGCCTTAGCAAAGTAGCTGCCGCAACGACTGTTAACACAGGTAGTTTTGATTGTTTCAAATGTGTCAAAGTTACTCTTACTACACACTACAGATCGAATCGTGAATACGTGAACGTGATTTTTTAAACTTGTATCTTACCAATCCCAGGGTATTTTAGAGGCCAAGGATCCTCTACTCGAATAGAGCGAGGGTTCATTACCGTAACTGGCACCAAACGCTTTCTTTCCTGGTCACGCTCCAATTGAGCTACTGACTTGATGATATGTTGACTATTATCTGTGTCAACACATGAAAGTCAGTTAAGTTGATTTAGAACAGGAGGCAAACCTGGTTCGTCAATAGTGAGAACGATTGAACTAGGAACGTCACAAACAACCAGTAAACTAGACTCGCCACAATGTTCACTGGCCCTTCGAGATCTTGGTAGCCACGACGAAAGATCAGCGTCGGCATGCAGAAAGACAAACTAGTCTTGCAAACGTCGAAATAGAAAGTAAAGTTTCTTACGTAATTGCCAAAGTCGGAACAGCCAATGAAGAAGACTCGTCCGCCCCCATCAGTCGAGCGAGTGACGAGAACTTCCTCTCACGCTCTCCCTCCAGCTTCGGAGGAAAAAATGTCGTGGAACTCTACAAATTGTGACTCCTGCCTCCAGCGTTCTGGGCCACCTACTAGCATAAGACATGTACTTCAGTGTCGCTACTGCTGTATCCCCCGCAAGAATTTCCATCGGAGACCTATTGTAGCGCTAGTGGAGCGTACGCCCAAGATGTTTCCAAAATGGCTGCTGCCTCGACAGTTGACACTTTCAAGGATCCCGTGACGGTTGCCCTGCTTGGTAGAAGTGGCAAAATTGTGTTCCATGCACTTACAAGTTGAGAGGAGCGCTTTCTTCCGGCCTTAAATGAGATAGTATGTCTGATAGTGTAAGTGGACCCGATGAATCCACACACAGAAAAGGTCCCATTGCACAAAACTGTTATATACATCACATCTGGAGCAAGCTTGACCTGTTTGGCGAGGTTAAAGTCTAATGACAACGAAAAAGGAAAAGTTTACCAGACGGTGTTGTCAAGCTCATGGCGACTGGAAGAATGGCGTTTATCTCGACTTCAACAGGAAGACCATGAACAACAGAGATGGATGACACCTCCGCGTGGATCTAAGATAAAGAAGTTGTAGGTTCTTATCAGTAACCAGGACCAGTATTACCTCATCAAATATTAGCACGTCTTTTGCTGAGGACGCACGAATTACTGTTTTACCCAGAATTTTTCCAAGTGCAGTCACACTTGCGACGTTTGGATTCGTTGATGACCATACGTAGTCGCTAGATAGATTTATCTCCGCGGCCTAGAGAGAAAAATTTCCAATACTGAACCTCCTTTTAACTGATACTCCTGTGAAGATCCTGGGCTCCAAGGAAGAAATACAGTGTGAAAACCTGTTGCATGCTCCGCTGCTATTAAAACAGTGGGGCACACAACAACTGCTTGCTCAAGCTTCAGCACCTGCATCAAATGCCAAGAAAATCAATACAACAAACAAGGCAAACCTTCACATCGTAATCAACGTTGTAGACAAGTTTAGCCACTATAGTTCCAGCGCCCTCTGTCAGCGACATTGCATTTTGCCATCCATGTTCGGATGCAACTTCAACAGCCTTCCCAGTACGGCAGGTACGTGAAATGAAGTCTCAAGTCGTTGCTTGCTCTGTCGGATACCAGAGTCAGCAAATAAACAAAACGGAGGAGGAAAAGACCTGCGTCAGGTAAAGCGCGCAAAGACGTGAGTTCAAACAGAAGTCCGTGAAGAAAACATATATACCTGACAAGGCGCTTTTACGCATAGCTTTCAACTTGAACCAAAAGCTCGTTCCTAGAACAATATAAGTTTAACTGCGGCTCCAGCTTCGATTAAAAGTATCATCCAGCTCTTCCATTCTCGGTTCGACCAGTCTGGCTTTTACTCTCTCCTGTCCAGCACTCGCTCCTCGAACAACGTATAAATCAGATCCAAACCCCTGAAGCACAGGCAGTGTCAAGACACACGCAAACATCATGATCGAATGAAATGTCTACCTGCCCCTCCGAACTCTATTTGAGTATCAATGCCTCCGCACATAAACTTCCGAGGAAGTATGGATCAGAGCCACAAAAATTTCAATCCCACTGGAAAACGCTCAATCGTGAACAGAAAGGTCATATCTTCAAAACACCCATCAAAGCTCGGGATACGGTGATGATCCCCAGAAAAAACAAGAGTCGCCCTTTACATAAACCCTAAACCCTTTTGTCTTTGAGATCGCAGGGATCGCAGGGATGCAAGGGATCGCGGGGATCATGTCCGGCTTACCGACGATGTTCTCCCTCCGCCGGGTGCAGGCATTCGATTTCACGGCGTTTACGCGGATTCCGACGTGGTGAGCAGGGCACTGTTTTCGTCTCCTGGCGCCGGTGGAGATGCTGACTGCCAGGGCAGCTGCAAGTATCTGCGGAGCACACTCGCGTGGAGGATGAGGGACGGACTCCTCCTGGTCACTTTGATAAACCAGGCCGAGCTCGTTCAGTACTTTCCTCCATCGATAGTGCGCAGCTTCCCCGTTGCAAGGTATTTCTCTCCTTGGATGGTGAACCTTGTGGATCTTGCAGTTGAACTTATGCCACGGCTGCGGCAAGTGTACAAGGATTTACTCTGCTACGTGGTGGCGTGCTTCCCACAACCAGAATTTTGGTTCTGATCGGACCGCGGTGTTCCTAACAGGAGACTACACTTTCAAGTCCTTCATCGACGACGACCCAAAGCTTCGGCTTTTTCTGTTGGAGCATGGCGTGCATCTGAGTGACGTTGTGCACCCGGACGATTGGGGATTGACTTGGGAATATGATTGAAACTTCTGTTTTGAGAGACTTTTCTACTATTTTAGAACATGTTGAGTAAAGTTTTAAACTCTCAAAGCTTGTCCGATCTGGAAGTGTCTAGAAAGTGCCAAAGCCTCGGACGAGAAAGGAAACGCTTGATCTTGTCCTGTCCGCCAAATCTTGCAAGCTTGCCTAGACGCAGAGGCCCAGGGACACCAACAAAACTCGCATTTCCTGCAGGAAAGCCCGGCATGGAGCTCAAAGCAGCGACTGTGAAGCGGGCTCTCTCAAAGCAGCAACTTGAATCTCATCGTCATGAACAAGAACACATGAGATAAAAGGAAGGCATAACTTACAGTGGAGAAGTTTAGGTCGTTTTGCAAGTCCATGACTTTGAAGATTAGCGGCAAAGGTATCTTTCCCCACGCCTGGAGACCGGCCACCTGTATCGGTTGGTATCCAGTGATTGGATTCCTAAACCGTGTTAAACCGTAAGGCACAAGAACTTGAAAGTGCTCACCAAAACATTCCCGTGCTGCTCTTCGGGGAAAACCACGTCAGAGATGGTGCTGTCAAGACTGGCGTACTGGAGTGAAGGGAGCTGACTCGTGAAGTCTACGAAGATGGCGAAACTCCATACAAAAAAAAGGCTCTCCATGAGCTCAGTTGCCAAGAGGCCCAGCTCAGTCATGGCTCAATTATAAACGTTGTCTCTGTACATCAAGAACTTACGCACTGTCAATTGTACAGATTCAAGTACATTCACGAGCCAAACTGTCTTCACTGTAGATTCTCCAGGTTGCTCGGAGGGTGTACAGACGGAGGC